CTGGAAGTGGGGGGGGGGGCTGTGTTTAACTTAATTTATATAGTACTCAGCCAAGAGGCACTCCTCCTCTTCCTGCCTTTCCCCACTTTCCTGAATATCCTCTGGGCCATTAACAAAAGTACCAAGCCTGATGATTTCACTCTGAGCCTAAGAGTTTCACATCACACCGCAGTTATAAATCGCTACTAAAATGGGTCTTCGTGGTTGCTTCCATAGTGTTATAAAGACGATGTTGCCTCCGTTAGTGGAAGAACCTGCTCCTGGAGCAAAAACAAGTCTAGAGGGCATGTGACAACCTCACAGGCACTGCAGGGTCTGAAAAGCAAGGAGACTTTTAAAATATGGATATTTCCCAGTATTTTGAATATTTTCTTCTTCTTTTTTTTTTTTTTCTCCTTATAACCCACCTCAGAATATAAAAGACATAATAGATGTTTTAATTTTTACATCTTTTTGACTGGGAAAATGTCCAGAATAAGATCCAAACAAAACAAATTAAATAATTTTGTGCACGCAATTATAGAACAGAAGCGACACTCTTCTAAAACAAGCAATCAAAAAGCAAAACAGTGTTTTATTTGACAATAAACCTTGTGTTTGGCACTAGTTTCCAACCTAGTAAATCTATCAAAAAATGTTACTGTCTGTTTCCCCATCTCACAAGTATTGAATAGTAAAGAGCTCCACACATTTTTATTTGAGATATTTTTTTAAGCCTTAAAAACAATACTGTTTGCATGATAAGGCTTGAGGAACTTAACACAATAGAACTGCTGTCCTTCAGAATAGAAAAGCAGAAGATCAGAAGCAGCCATTTCTTCAATTGCTTTTAATGCTTTTCTTATCGAAGCTCAAGAATATACTCTTTCCTTGAGTAGCTGCTTCAGTATTAACTTTGCCTTTTTAGTGTTTGAGCAGGAAACACAATGCAGTTTTGAATCCTTTTTTTTTACCTAACAGCTTTCTATTTAATATCAGCCTTCGGCGTGCAGCGAGGTAGGAGTGGCCTGGGCTTTGAAGCCAGGCACGCTTGGGGTCAGGTCTGTGTCTGCCCTCCCTAGTTGCGGGGCCTCTGGAAGTTCCTGGGCCTCTCTGAGACTCGGCTCTCTCTTAAAGAAATGGGGACTGAGGAGCCCACCTTGCAAGGCTGCGCCTGCAATGTACCTGGCACGCAGTAGGTGCTCGTTGCACATCGATGCTATCATAATCGTAAAGATTCCACGAGTGCCCTTTACTCTTTGAGAAACAGTTCTCTTCAGGCTGCAGAATACCATCCAGCCTGTGGAAACAAGGAGCGGGGGAGAAGATTATCTGCAAGTTGCATATACTCAGCCAGAGTGTCCCGAGACCTGCTGGGTTTTGTTCTTCCTTTTCCATCTCACACCACCCTACTTTCCTCTCCATTGCCCTGCAGGACAAAGTATTTGAATCCGGGTAAAATAATTTATGAGCGACCTTGAAAAACAAAGAAACAAAAAGAAACAAACAAACTCACTAGAATTCAGCCTGCTGCCTGGGCAGATGAATGAAGCCCAAGGCACTGTTCTAGGTGGTGATGCTGGAGAGGTTCGTGGGTCAATTGGCATCGTTCCCTTTGCATCTGAAGTCGGCTTTCCCATGTGACCGTCCTGCCCTGGGTGTCTGCACATGTGTGAGTTCTCCTGCCCACACTTCAGGTCCCTGGGGAAATGGCCTTGGTTGCTGTGTCTTAGGGATGGTTCTGTCTCCCATGCCTTGATTCTTGTTAAAAAAAGCCTTTTGAGATACTGCATCCTTGAGAAGTACTGAGGCTTCATTTTTGAATTTTATCTGTAGGAAATATTGCCATGGAATTGTGTCTGTCTGTTCTCAGTGACTATGTAGCAGGTATTATGAATGCCGTGGGCTGGGCATTAGGAAAGGTCAGGATTCTCTTATGAGCCAATACCAGTTTGAAGGGATGCTGAATTTTCACCAAAAATAGGAAAGTTGGTGATGAGATTTTTATCGGTATCCTGACATTCTCCTGGAGCTGCAGAGTAGCCGGGACTTTCTGTAGGACGGCAACTCAAAAAGGAACACTTTAGGTGCCACCTTCTGGGTTCTTGTGCTTACAGCTTATTTTTGCCAGACAGAGTCTGTGGATGAAAGATGGAGCTATTTAGGGAGTTTCAAGATTAACATCTGGCAGCTATCATATCTCAAGATAATTTTTCTTACTAGAACAATAGGCAAGATTCATCAAAGTGGAAAAAAAGGTATGCATTGAAATGAATACATGACATAACCCTTTGTTAAATTTGGAAACAGAAAAATAACAATTACTAAATTTTTAGAAAGCAGCGTGAAATTAGATAATTATAGAAACCAACACATATGGAGATAATACAACCAAACATTTAAAAACTGTCAATTGTTTATAAATGTAATAATGCAGAGATCATCTAGAAAACCACTTATCAAGTGGCAGCTTTGAATAATAGAAATTTCATTTTAGAGGAAAAAAGAATCCAAACATTGTATTTATCTTAACTTTAAAAAAAAGAGTATCTCAGTGTATTTCAGGGAGAGACCTTGGTTAAGTGTTTTCAGAATTTCTCTTTATGCATAGACATCCTAGAATGCTCCGAGAAAAGCTCCCCCGCTCCCACCATTGACTGCTTTAACACGATACGCCATCCTGGGCACAGTTTCTCTCTGCGAAATGATATTCTTGGGCAAGAAGGTGGGCTATGTTCTCTCCTCCACCGGCTCTAGATGTCTCTGGTTATAGAAATTTTATGCTGACTCATGGCCCAGATCCATTCCCCCCAATTATTAAAGGAAGTGGGACCTGCTTTTGCTGTCCGACTGCAGGGCTGCTCCTCACTCACCCCCACCAGAGAAGGGAGAAGACCCCGTGGGGTGCAGGCAGGGGGCGTTCCCTTAGCAGGTCCTGAGACGTACCTCTGCGCGCAGATCTGTCCACAGCCATCTAGAGAGGGGGCGAAGTGATCTCCTCCTAAATACTTGCATTTTTAATTAATTAATTAATTGACTTTCAAACTGAGGTATAGTTGATTGTGTTAGTTTCAGGAGTATCCGCCGTTTAAAACTCTTACAGTAACATTTCGTAGGGTTTACTTCTTTATTCCAGCTCTAGCTAGAAACATACATTAAAATTACTGCCAACCCGAGTAAAGGATACCTTAGTAAAAAAAACTTGCTTCGTTTAGATTCTCTGTGTCCTAATTTCTGAATACTAATGAACAGTTCTGTTTTAGGTTTGCAAAACACTACAGCATTGATAAAGATACTGCAGTGGATTATAATGTTGTTTTGAAGAACCTCAGTACAAATAATGACTTGAACCTTAAATATTCAATGGGAAGTCAAGGTAAGTATTTTAAAGTATGATTTCAGTATCCTCTGGCGTGGTAATTCCTCGTCTGTGAATCTGTCCTAAGGAAACACTTTCAAATATGGAAAATGCATTATCCACAAAGACTGTCATGGTATCTTTGTTTATAAGAATAACATAAATGCCTAACAACAGGAAAAGGGTTAAGTGAGTCACAGCCTATAGACATGGTAAAATGTGCATCCACAAGCAATGATTTCCATAAAGTTAATCATAACATGGAAAATTTATGTGGAATATCAGTAAATGATCGGAAAGAAATTCCAAAATATAGATTGTCTTTAAGTGATATGTCTCTGGGTGTTTGATTCTTTCTGCTACTTCTGTATTTTCAAAAATTTTTGTTAATGAACATGTTACTCCTTTAACGAGGGGAACAATCTTGATACAAAAGGGCAAATAGTTGAGTAGATGGTATGGTTATACCGGACATGTAAGGCCGGGCTCACGCAGGCATACAACCTTGAGAAGGAAAAACTTGCCTCGTACTGATATTCTTTATCCCAGCCTCTAGAACATAATGCCCAGAGTTGCACGGTTCTGGAGAGAGCAGGGGTCCAGTTCCTCGCGGATGGTATATGAAAAATGCAATCAGAGATTCTCCCTTCCAGGCCTTTGGTCATTTGAGGCAAGCAGTTTCCTGCCTCAGGGGTTTACCACGTGTGTACTGGCTCATTCAAGATGGGTTGTCACTGTCTGGTTTCAGTGCAATTCATTGCAGCAAATATGCACTAATACCTTCTATGATTCCCGGATCTGCCTGACTAGCAAACTTAAAAATGATAAATTCTCAGATTTCAGCTCGGTTTCACTAACCAAGATAGCTTAGAGCAGACCCCAGGACTCTACTTTTCAAAGCCTTCCAAGTTTGGGGAATTACTAGGCAATATGACCTTCCAAGGATGCTTTCGTCCCTTACATTTTGTTAGTTCATGTGCAAGTCCCTGTACTACTAGATCCTTCATTGGGTACAAAGCCAAGTAAAATAATCTGACTTTAAGAGGTATGCGTGTGTATGTGTATGTGTGTGTGTTTGTATGTATGTGCACATGTATATATATTTTAATAGGACAGGTAAGACACAAAACAAGTCACATAAAAAAATAACACTAAAACACATCTATTTATTGTGCTCTATGCAGTTACTTTTTAAACCTTAGTTTTAATTTTATTTCTCTCAACAGTTTTGTGAGGTGGGTATTATTATCCCATTTTTTTAAATGAGAAAACCTGACTCCAGGGTGCTAAATGAATTTAGCTAGGAAATGTCTTGGTGTTCAGCTTTCTGCATCAATTTTCCAGAACACAGTATATTTTCAACCTGAATATTCAATTCTCACTTCATTTCAAGGATTTGTTTGTTAGTTTGTTTTTTAGTAATATTGTACATCTTTTTTTTTTTTTTTTTTTTTTTTGTGGTCCGCCGGCCTCTCCCGTTGCGGAGCACAGGCTCCGGACGCGCAGGCCCAGCGGCCGTGGCTCACGGGCCCAGCCGCTCCGCGGCACGTGGGAACTTCCCGGACTGGGGCACGAACCCGTGTCCCCTGCATCGTCAGGCGGACTCTCAACCACTGCGCCACCAGGGAAGCCCTGTACATCTTTGAGTAAAGTTTCTGTTCCACTTTTCAGATTAGCTTCAGTGATACAAACTACCCTTATGTTGAGTTGTTTTTGTCTCCTCTGTTGCCTAAATTATCTTGAAGTGCTTTATTCTCTTTGTCTTTTTCCTCTGTACTCACAAGGATCATCTTAGGCCTTTGAGCTATACCTGTAATTTGGTTTTCACTTTAGTCTATGCTACTCTTTGCTATGTCCACTTTATTAATTACTTCTATAATGTTTCCTTTGGCCTACTATACTGTTTTCCCCTCTCATTTTATTGTTTTATCATCTTGTTATTGAGCTCTTGTTTTAATGAATTCGTGTTCTTATTAAAATGTTCTGTAAAGTAATTTTGTGCCTTGAATTACATTTTCTTCCAAGGTGGGATCTTTGCCTTTTTGTGTTATGCTCCTTTCCTTCCTTCTCTATCCACCAGCCCCTTCCCCCAACATTTTTCCTGTAGAGTTTGTGTAATTTTAAGAAATTTGGATTGATTGAGCATTTTTATTCCATTATACATCTTTAGCTAGTCAGAATCTATCTTCAGATAATATTATACTAATTCACATGAATTATAGACTTTAAACAGCATTTTCTGAATTCTTCTCTCCTGTCCTTTGTTATATTGCTGTCATACATCATACTTTTACTTACACTATAAACACAGGCAAGCCATGTGGTGTGGCCAAAAAACAAACAAACAGAGCTTCCCTGGTGGCGCAGTGGTTGAGAGTCCGCCTGCCAATGCAGGGGACACGGGTTCGTGCCCCGGTCCGGGAAGATCCCGCGTGCCGCGGAGTGGCTGGGCCTGTGGGCCATGGCCGCTGAGCCTGTGCGTCCGGAGCCTGTGCTCCGCAACAGGAGAGGCCACAACAGTGAGAGGCCCGCATGCCGCAAAGAAACCAAAAAAACAAAAACAAACAAACAAAGAAAATACAGGATATGTTGCTCAGCTTCTATTGTTCTGAGAATACCTATCTGTTCATTTCATTAGTAGTATATTTTCCTTCATATTCTCAAACACTGTTATTTAAAAAGTTTAAATTTGAAAATGCTTTAAAATTTTCACCTGCTAATTTCAACATCTAGGTCATTTTAGGATTTGGTCTTTATTGATTACCTTTTTAAAAAAATATGGATCATAGTTTCCTGTGGGATTTTTTTTTTTTTTTTTTTTTTTGGCCTATGTGTAGTAATTTTGGAATTTATCCTGGATATAGTAAATTTTGCATTGTAGAGACTATAGAGTCTGTTATGTTCCTCTGAAGAATTTAAGTTTTCTTTTAGTAGCCAGTTTACTTTAGTAGAAGACTAATCTTTGTCTTCCCTGAGGGGGTCAACACATGAGATCTTTTTTCTGCTGTTTTAGCCTTAGCTGGGCATCTTGTTTTCTGCTCTACACATCTATAGTTCCCAGTGTTAGCCAGTGACTTTGGCGGAGTTTATTCACAGGCTTTGGAGATCCTCTGCTATGCCTTTCTTTTTGTGCTTTCCCTCCTTACTTTCTAGCTGCTGTGGTAGTCCTGACTTCTCTCTTTTTGATTCCTAAAACCAGTAAGATCCTGGATTTATATCTAAACTCTAGCCACTTAGCATAAGGTTCCAGGTGAGGCCTGCCCTCAGGCAAAAGGCCAAATAACAAGAAACTCCATTTTTCCAAGGGTTGACTCCAGTTTATGTCATTTGCTCTCCAATGCCTTCAGAGAGTTTTTTGTTTATATTTTGGCTAGAGTTTATAATTGTTATCTGCTGGGAGGTTTGCTTCAACATGAGCAAATCCACCATAACTGGAAGCAAGACTTTCCGGCTGCCCATATTAAGTTTCTTCTTGCTTCAGTTTATGCTAGTAAATTTATTTATTTATTTGCTTTGCTAATAAATAAATAAATTTTTTATTTTTACTATTTTTACTAATTTTTATTATTTCTTTCTTTTGCTTATTTTATTAAGTACTGTAAGAAGGGAGTCTCCATTCATTTGCAGCAGCCCATTATCTGTGACTTTTCTATACATGGAACAATATTTGTTCTCTGTGAATTTTGCATATTCCTGTTTTTGCTACTTTTGTTCTGAAGACGCCATCAAGACCTTGCTTGTCAAAAGCACCATGTCTTTGGGCACATGAAGAAATGACATTAGGGGCTGAATTCCTTTTGCTGCACCTATGAAATACATACTTGCCCCCTTAAGTTTTGGCTTTCCTCTGTACTCCATTTCAAATCAGCTAGAACCCTTCAGAGGAAATTTTGGGGAAACCGGAAGGTGGCAGGAATTATTCAGCTGCACAGAAGAGCGAAAGCTGGTCTAACTGTGATGTGAGCAGAGTCACTGGACATGGCTTCATCGAGTTTGTTGGCCAGCCTGCAGTAGCAGCTAGAGCGGTACGGCGGGGGAGGTCCCACACTGGGGGTGAGCTCCCCCGGGGTGGGCCTCACGCCTCGGCCCCGCCTCCGCGCTCCACCCTGGCGTGCTGTCTACGGAGCACCAAGGGGTTTCCCTAGACGTGCTGTGTGTGTCCTCTAAGCCCCCATTAGAGTAGCAGTGCCCAGCGCAGAGTAAGTGCAGGACCAAGGCATCAGAAAGCCGGGGCTGAGACCTGCCTCACCGAGTGATACCTGCGTGGCTCCCTTGTCTCTCAGTGAGGCTCTCACAGCTTCCATGCTCTGAGAGCCCATGTTTCAAATGCTAGGCCCGGTGAAGCCATGGTATTCCGGACTGCGTTCTAAAGGGCTGGTTTTGTATTTTATCATGTAGCCAGAGGGGGTCCATGGGGGGAGACTTACTTTTTTTCTTTTCTTTTCTTTTTCTTCTTTTTTTTGAGGTAGGAAATGGAATTCCAGCTGACTAGCAGTTTAACTGCAGCTGAGTAGTTATAAGTGTGCTTAATTTGAGTGGAGCTTATTTGCAGACATTTTAGGAAATAAATCTGGGAAATCATTTGTGATTCTTTGCAGTTGACTTTGAGAAAGAAAATGGCTATATCTTAGATTTGTTTTATTCTCTTTTATTTTCAAAGTAATAAGTGCTTGTTGCAAAAAGGCCAGAAAACACAAAAACACAAAATCATACTTCCCTATAATCCTACCATGTATTCTTTTGATATATTATCCTCCCAGGTTTTGTTTCTGGTGCATAGATAGATAGATGGATAGATGGATAGATGGATGGATGGATGGATAGATAAGCAAATACACAAAATAAGTGTTAAATGAAAATTAAATTATGCTAGTTGTTCTTTCTTTCAATCATGAAACAATATCAAGGAACATTTTTTGCATTCATGATTTAGACAGGCCCTTTGTTTTTAATGTCTATGAGCCATAATTTATAAAACCAGTCTTCTATTAATGGGCATTTAAATTGTTCTATTTTTTCCCTTCTTATAAACAGGACAGAACAGATCCTTACACATATGCATCTGTCCTATTATTCCATTAGTGTAAAGTTCTAGAAGGGGATTTGAGAATATTCAGGGACCACGTTTTCTGTACACAAGCCAGCACTGATTTCTTTCTTTGTCATTTGCCTTAATCCCTGCCTATTTGACAAGTAGGGAAAAATTAACTTGTGTTAATTAGACCTTTTAAATTACCAATGAGTTTGAGCAGTTTTTCATACATTTCTTGGCTTTTTAAAAATCCTTTTTTAATGTGAATTACCTGTTTAAACCTTAGTCTGTTGTGTGATTGGGGATTTATATTATCCTTTAGATTCATAAGAGCTACTCATATATTGAGGAAATTAACCTGCATTTCTCACATATATTAACAATAGTTTTTCCCACTCGTTTTTCTTTCATTGTTATTTGTGTATTTTTTTAACAAACAAAAATTAAATATTTATATTGTCAGACCTATCCATTATTTAAATGATTTCTAGCTCTAATGTGTTCTTTGGAAGGGTCTTTTCACACAGTGATTATGTATTACATGTATTATGTATATTCATCTTAATTTTCCTCCACTACTTTTATGGTTTTATTAGTCTGTTTAGTATATATTTACTCTGTCCAGATTTAGCCTAGATAAGGTAGCAAGTAGATTAATTTTATTTTTTTCTAAAATGTCCGTCCAGTTATTTCAACAGCACTTATTATATAGTTCATGTTTTTGGTTTATTTGAGTCTTAATTTTTACCAGACAGGTGATGATGAAAAGGAAACACTTAATATTCAAATGTACGTTTGACAGTCTTCATAAACTGGAGTTCTTTTGTCTTACTGGAGGTCCCATGGGAGGACCAATGAGTCAAAAGTTCCAAAAGAGAGTACCTCCCCAGTCCTGTTTCATCTGAAGATAACCTGGAAAAACTGCTCCTTAGATGAAATTGAGAGGACCTTTTGCCAAGAGGTAAGAACGTTCTCCTAGTGCCAGGGTTATCTAAAGTGTGAACAGAGAGAGTAGATGGCTGTGGAAGACCGTTAGGTCTAGACGTTATTTCTAAACTGCTTTGAACCACCTCCGCTTCCTCAAGCCCTGGGACCTCCTCCAGCTTCTCATAACAACAATGCATGGCTGATGGTAACGATGATGAGACATTAAGTACTTCCTTGGTGCTACTCACACACTAAATGTAATAAGAAAAATTTAACACTTATATAAAGACATGATACAACTTTATTGAGTAAAATAAAGGAAAATCTGAAAAAACAAAGAGGGCTTTTGTAGCTCTTGGACTGGAAGATTTAGTATTAGCACCTTCTCTCCCTACATCTGGGTGTATATATATATATATATATATTTTTTTTTTTTTTTTTTTTTTT